AACAACTCTTCAACCTCCACTGCCACAGCGGCTTTCAGCCTTTCAAACTCCAGCTTGCTGAGCAGTGCCATGGGCATGATCTTGAATCTGGGGTCCAGGAGTGTGGCTTTAAAATAGGTGTTGGTGGGCGTTTCAAAGACAGGTTGGAAGTGTTCCTCAAGGTGGCTCTGCAGTAAGCCAACTAGCTCACGAGTCTCTAGCAGATCACCCACATCCTTATTTGCTATAAGTTCGTTCAGTGCAGCTCTGAGGGCCTGGATGCACGGGATCACAGAGGAAATGGACGTATCGTCTTGGCACACTGTGCGTGTTGCTTCCTCAAACGGCTCCAGCACTTTGACTACGGCCTCCATTAAAGTCCACTGATGCTCTGAGAAGGACCCACCAAGGTCCATCTCTGTGGACATGGCCATCAGTGCCTCCTTCTGTTCCAGCAGGCGCTGCAACATGAGCAACACTGTGTTCCACCTGGTCGGCACATCATGAATTAAGGAAGCCACAGCAAGGCCAAGTTGCTCCTGTATCTCATGCAGCTTAGCTATGGCTTTATTTGACACGTGTACAGTGCTGGTAACCTGTCTTGCAGTATTGATTACACTAACCACACCATGGGACTCTTCAATAGCACCTGTTACAATCAGGTGTAGGGAGTGAGCCATGCATCTAATGTGCTCAAAGCCACTGTCTGACATGGCTTTCACCATATTGCACGTGTTGTTAGTGACAAAGAACCCGACAGTAAACCTACGTGGAACCATAGTTTGCCACTCTTCGACAATGTCCTGCAGATGTTGCAAGATTTCTGCTGGAGTGTATTCTGTATCGATGACCTTCATATTGAGCAATGCACTGGTGCGTTTATGTGTCACTTCCCCACCCTCTGATATATTCTGTACAAACCAATGTCCTGTAAGAGACAAATAGGAGCTGGTTGAGAACTTTCTAGTCCAAATATCAGCTGTGCAGTGAACAACATCGCCCTCAATGTTCTCAAGGCTCTCTTGCACTTTAGTTTTTACTCTCTGGTGAAGCTGTGGTACAACTTTGTTGCTGAAGTGAATGCCTGCGGGAAGTGTGTAATGTGGTGCCATCACATTCATAAGTTTACAGAATCCCTTGTTCTCTACAAACGAATACGGCAGAAGATCCACGCAAATCATTTCACCCACAATTTTAGTGATTGTCTGGGTCAGCGGGTGATTCGGTTGATCAAGAGCTTCAGATTGGAGACTCTGGAAAACAAGTGGCGCAAAGGGCAGCAAGGCAGGAGGGGTGGGGGTTGGCTGCGATCTCCTGCTACTCTGAGTGCTACGGATGCCTGCCACATTGCGATGCTTGTAGTGCATGTGGTTGTGCATAGTACTGGTAGTTAGGTGTCCTAGATCCTTGCCTCTGCTCACAACTCTTTGGCATATGTTGCACACCACCTTGGTCACATCAGCATCGCAAGTGGTGAAATATTTCCAGATTGCGCTCTTATTCCTCCTTTGCTTTTTTATTGGTGTTGTGTCACCCACTTGTTGTTGCTGATCACTGGCTGCAGCAATGTCACAGTCTGTTAAGACTTCAACCTTTACAATATCTACAGTATCCATGACTGCTCTCAACAGCACAGGCTCACTTCTAACTACTACAGCAACCAGCAGTTTACAGGATACGATTTTACGCGTGGACCTATCTCAGAGAGTCGACATGTATTTGCTCTTCTTCTGGTCCACTTGTCTCATTCAATAAATCCGTTGTTTTTATTCGGCTATAAGGAGGCTCTTCCTGTTTCTTGGTTAACTGGACGTTCGGCTGCGATGAGACTTTGATTTAATTAATAATGATTTGAATGAATCTATAAACTGAAAAATAAACGCTTTTGAAGCCTGATTGTGGCAGAGACTGAGCAGTGTCCCGTTTTAATGGAGTTCGACATTTTGTTTTTCTTTCCTCTATTTTGTTTCTTCTTCTCCTCATGGTCTAATTTCTTCTTCTTCTTGCTATTCCCTGCAGCTTTTTACGCCGCTGGTGTAATGCCAACCCCCACAGGCGGTTCGGTGAAATGCAGCTACGTACTCAGTTTGTATATATATATTGTCACAGCTCACTTCTGTAGGTTAACATTAACATTAACATTTAAACAGTTAAAGTCACATTTCTTCAGTGTGAATGTGTCTGCTACCACATAAACAAATAAACTGATATGGTTATTATGTTTTTATAGTTTTATTAAGGGCTCTATGATCATGTTAACACCCATAGGAGATAAAAACTTGATTGTTTGTTATTGTACATTTCACCCTTAATGTTCTGTTTGCAAGATACTTCGAGAAGATTAAAAAAGAGGAATGTGCAGTTGTTTGGGTTTATTGTGAAGTGTGCTCCCTCTCGTGGTCGTACAGCCGCAAATCAACTGATTCAGTGTCTGTCTACTTCAGAGAGAGTTCACTGGACGAGTCTTTACTGAGACGGGTCTTCTCCCCAATGTAAATCAGATATCAAACAATGTTTATAAATACCTTTAATATACGGTAAAATATAGGAGAAGATCAGTAATAATATTTATTTTTCACAAGAGTAGGAAGCCCCGCAATAAAGCAGGGCATCAAAAAATTAGTTGAAACTCTTATTGTTCCTCTCCACGGAAATCTTTAGTAAAAGGCGAAAGATTTATACGATCTGAAGAGAAACAAGAGTGTACTGACGACGGAGGGTCGACGGGTCCGAGGCCTTTCTCCGTCTCATGAGTCTCACTGACGGTTCCTGTAATAAAGTGATATTATTTAAACTATTTTAAATTCATAAATACAAACTGTCTACAATAAACACCTCTAATAATCGCACCAAAACGCTGTGGATGAGGAATAAATGTAAAAAAGTTTAGCGTTTAACAACAACACGTACGCGCGCTAGGCATTATGGGAATATGGCGGCCTTGACCACGCCTCTTTTTTAAGAAATCGCTTCTAAAATAAAATTACTTAGTTTTCCCTTCACCAAAAGTTTGTGTGACTATTGAATAAACCGAAGAGATTAAAGGTTTTGTTTTGTTTTTTATCCTAAATTAGAAAAGAGTCACTATTCTTCTACTTACGAGCACCTACTTGTACGCATGCGCACACCACACAGAGCGTCCTATCAAGAGAGTATACAGGGCGTCCTTACTGAGAGGGTACCCGGTATTTACCAGCCAGGTTATTTATTTCTAGCCAGGTGCATACTTCATGACAACATGTTTCAACAAATAAACAATTTCTATGCATATTTAGTTCATATTTCTCTTTGGACTTTGTAAAGCTGCAGGCTAAGGGTTGCAAACACTTTCTTAGGTGTTCCCATGTGTAAAGATGATCATTTTCCCCAGTACTGCAAACACTGACCACTGTGGACTTTCTAACTGAGTTAGAAATAACGATAAACTAATAGAGAAAGAGTGGACATTTAGGCACTGCAGGCATTTAGATAGCCTATGTCTGTCTGCTATGTACCATCTCAACCTGTGTAAGCCTCTCCACACACAACTTAAACCACAATTATCCTTAATAAGACACCCACATCAACTACAACAAAAGGAGTAAGTTACAGATAAATTATTCAGGTGTAACCATTGACAGTGTGTAACCTACAGTATAAACTCTGCCCTCCCAATATATGGCGCTGCACTCCCCTTGAACCCAATCTGGGCCTTTTTCACTGGCTGCTCACATCAACATATAAAAGATGGCTGCTTACCATATATCCTGCTAGTTAGCTACTATACTATAAATATTAAAATAGTTTGAATCCGTAACTATATGTGTCGCAGATGTCACAAATAAAAGACAAACTCTGAAAACAGCAACAGGGACTGTAGAAGAATACTGAAGTTATCTCAGAAAGCAGATTACCAACTATCCACAAGACTAAATGTTAACTATTATCTTGTGCTGGCACAAAAGCAATAAATTGTACACAAAAATGTAGAAATAAAACCTGTTTGACAAGGTGCATCCCCAGTCTCTCCTCTCCATTAATCCAATCAAAGATGGCTGCCGTTAACGGCCCTACTCATCATATCCGGTTATGATTGTAAAGTGAGTTCAAAAATCATTTTTACCACAATTATTTTCTTATGGACAGATAACACAGAAGCATGATCCTATAAGTGTGCTGGGTTGAGTTACTACGGAAGCGCATTGCATTCACTGGAAAAATAAAAAACTGACACCATATCTCATAATTACGAGATAAGATAAAGAAAAAGGAAACGTCTGTAAATCCTCTCTCAGTGGCAGTGATGGCGCTATCGCAGTTAATCTGCTATTACTACCTTCTCGGTTTGAGACACTGGGAAATACTGATGAGGATGGTATTAATATTAGTATGTCAACACTGCGCAGGCATCTCAAGTCGTTCACATCACTGCCACTGAGAGAGGATTTACAGACGTTTCCTTTTTCTTTATCTTATCTCGTAATTATGAGATATGGTGTCAGTTTTTTATTTATCCAGTGAATGCAATGCGCTTCCGTAAGTTACTTCAACTTGGGGAAGCATGAAACTTAATGGCTTTCTGTATTTGCACAGGCTCTCATTCTTTATTAAAGACTTGTCTGGTTGGTTAGTACATGTGGTGATTTGTTGGCTTGAAATTCCACTGATAGGCTGAGGCAGTGGCAGAGTCTCGCCAGACTTGTCAGTGATTTTTACATTTCCCGGAGAGAGCCCTTGTCATTTTGTCAGCCTCCCCGTGGCTAAAGTATGCGGGGACAGCGGGGAGGGCTGTCAAACTGTGCCCGCCTGAGAGCGCCTTTCCCCGGGTTGATGAGTCATAATAAGGGCCGGCCAGGTGGTGTAAATGAGCAGGGAGGCAAGTGAGGACTGTGCATGTGTGTGTGTGTGTGTGTGTGTGTGTGTGTGTGTGTGTGTGTGTGTGTGAGTGGTAGAGAGAGGAAGAAAAGATGGATGGAGAGAGGGAGGGAGGGAGAGGGAGAGAGAGAGAGAGAGAGGGCGAGAGAGGGAGGGAGAAGGAGCACTGAGCTGAGTATTTACTCCAGATCTTGGGGATTTTTGAGTCTCTCACTGCGGAATGTCTTCTGTACTTTTGAAGTGAGTGTAAGCTTTGACTCAGTAAATCACCACTTACTCAGGCGAGCAGATTGCCTCTCAGACAACCTGCTCTCTGGATGGAGAAACGTTGCTGCAAAATGAGGGCGCTGTGTTTGAACTTTGCCATCACCTGTCTGTGGCTTCTCCCTTCAGCGGTGAGTAAGATCCGCTCTTTGCTCCGCTCATTATAAACGCAAAGGTTTATTTATTTATTTATTTATTTGTGGCGCTGTGAAGTGTTATATTGTATGTAGGCTGCTGATAATTTGTGCAACAAATAGGTCATAATTTAATTAATATGAAATTCCCTCGTGCCCTGGCTCTGCCAATGTTCATCATATTGCAGCGTTGTTGCACAATCAACAGTTTGGAGTGATTTTGATGTGTTGGTTTTGTGCGTGAGAAATCAAAATCTATCAGGATCAGTCATTTCTGAAAGATGTGAAACTGATACAGCAACAAAATTAAGACATCTCCCAACTGAACACATTCAGTTTCTTGGCAGTTTTAAAAGATAATTGGCAAGTTGGCATGGTGACATTGTTTACAGAGCGAATACTCCAGATTATTTTAAGAGGAAGACAAAGTTGAGAACTGCAGTTGATTGACTGAATTTTATTGACACTTGCTTGTCTTGACGTGGTTTCTACTGATTTGAGATTCAACTTGGACTTTTCTATGTTGAAAATGTTCCATTGAAACATTTGAGACATGCAGTTTTATTCAGGGATGAAATGTGCACTGGTGCTTTGTTCTGATATGATCTACATTCACACTCACAATAAAAGACTTATATCTCATGATGAGAGACTGTCTTGGGACACAGTTGACTTTTCTATTAGATGGTGAAGTTCAGCTCAAAATTTTAATTTGTTCCAGTCTTGTGGTCTGTAATTCTCTTTCAAGCATAATTGTAATTTAATCTGCTCTCCTGTCTTTAATTTAAGTTTCTTAACTTTGCCGCATGAGCAGCCGACTGCGACATCTGTAACATTGAAGTTGTCAGGTGAAAACCTCAAAGCAACCTACTTTTGTGCTTTATTACTTGAACTAAATGAGTGTGCCATCTTTGTCAGTTTGCAAAAGTTTTATCACCCTAGGGCTTAAGAAACATTGTCACTTTGGTTTTTTTGTTAAGTCGTGGAAAACTGACATGTTAGGGATCTTTTCATCCTATAGCAAGAATGTTAAAATGCAATTAGCCTACTGCTCATGGTTTCTCAGTTGATTTTTTTTTGCCTCTGCAGGTGTTTTTGCACAGGTGTTGTGCTTCTGCATCCACTCCACCGCTGTTGCTCAGTTGCAGTTTCTGTGCTGGCATCTTGACACAGAGCCAATGACACGGCTGTCACACAGTGGGCTCCAATTAGGATAGGTGAGAACAGCACATAGCTGGAGATTTAGGCTTGTAACAATAGGCACAGCTGGAGCTCACTTAGTTACCGGTGAAGGCAGAGATTGGCACACAGGGCTGGGGTGGTTAGGGGTGACGTGAATTCCACTTGTTGGTGAGAAATAATGATATCCTGGGAGCTGTTTATTCAGAAATCTGGGGTAGAATAACCCTAAACCTCCATCTGCCTTCGACACGTTATGAAGAAAATAGAATTCAAGTCTCTAACAACGAGTGCACAGAACTTTTTGCCCAACTCATGTCTCAGTACTAGAGAAGCATAAAAAAGCATTGACCCATGCATTCACACTTCCACTTAAAAAGGGAATTGTTTTTAGTAAAAATAAATGAAGTCTCTGGATTCACCTGGTCCAATTAGTTTTTCTACTTAACTCAGTGATTTTTGTTTTGGGTATTTTATGATCTCTGCACTCTTGTTAACATACCACAGCCCTGCATGTCAAATATCAGCCTCACAAACAGCCTCATTAATGACTGGATTTATTGGGATTTGAGCATTTTAATAGACAAGACAGCAGGTGGCTGCTTGGCTTATAATAAGCTGCTTCATCAATCTCAACTTGCACTTAATTTTCACAGTCTCACTTTTATACTTTTTATGCAGTGCTATTTTGTGAGTGAGAGGGACAGGTGAAATCAACTATGTTTTTATGTATTACTGATGTACTCTGATCTGTGTCAAACCACTATTTAAATGACTTATATTGTATATTGACATTGCTATGATTCCACTATTACAATTACTGCTCAAACACTCAATAAATAAATGTCAATGTCAATAAATGATGTACTTTCAGGAAACATGATTAGGAATTTGTTTCTCTACATAGGGTATTTCTTAGAGGACTAAACTTTTTATACTGGGCAATTTGTTTTGAAGTGATCTGTGTAAGAAGGTAAAGCAGCATGCTGATTTGCTGCAAAAGTTGTGCAAATAATCTGCAAACTGCTCACCCATATTGTCTCATCTTGGGAAAGTTAGCTCATACCTTTATACAGTGTAGGTAAAAATATGAGGGACAGTAATTGGAAGGAGGAGAATGTGTATGGAGATGGAGAATGCAATGACGACACAGTAAGTGAATAAAACATGAACTGCTCTTTGTATGAAATGATAACCTGACAAGGTGAATCTAAGTGAAGGCTTAATCTCTTATTAATTTCAAGTATATGTAATCCAAATCAATTTAGGAATGAAACTGGGATATTTAAAGGGATGATGACGACAAGGAAGGTGAAAATGAGAAAGAGGCATTTTTAGTCTTTTTGAGACAGCTGAGACATGTTTGGCACAGAGGGAGCTCACTATGAAAAATAAGCTGCTAACAGTTCAGATTTTTAACCCTTTCATACAGTATATACTGTAAATGTATTTGAATGATTCTCAGCAGTGTCTTCAACAGCGACCTGAGGTTGACCATGTTCTTCTCTTCCAAGCATATTGATTAATAAGCCCGTACATTCAGTCCATTATCAAGGTCGCATTGAAAAGAGGATTGAAAGTTTTAACAAGGGAGCGAGAGAGAGTGCGAGGAAGGACAGTCAAATTAAAATGTGTTAATGGCAATATGAATGTGTGTGTGTGTGTGTGTGTGTGTGTGTGTGTGTGTGTGTGTGTGTGTGTGTGTGTGTGTGTGTGTGTGTGTATGTGTGGGTGGGTGGGTGCATGCTCCTTGTTAAGGTAGTCCTTGCCTGAAGGAGCTGACTTATTGATCATAGTCAGTTCTCATTCAGAGGACCCTACACATCAAAGCATGATTATTTTAATCGATTATCTGCTACCTTGTAATGTAGCTACAGTGAAACTGTCCTTCATTTGCGGTCGTCCTGCTGCTCTGGAGTCTGTCACCTTCTGCAGTGCATCCTACACAAAATAAATCCTCTGATATGTATAAAGTTGATAGTTTTGACTGAAGAGTTGTTTGGTCTTTACAAGTAATACCTCTGATGAATGAATGATATAAACACAGCTTTATTGTTGCTCTAAGAGTTACAAATGGGCTGTGGACTGTTTAAGCTACTGTAGCTATACCTTTCCATCTTTGATCTATAACTGACACAAAAATTAATAATATGAATTACCGTAAAACTTCTAATAATAGCCCGGGCGTCTATTTGGGACATGCGTTTAATTCCTTTAGCACAAAACTGAACTAAACTCTAACTGCTGCTTCTCTTGAGATTTTGTTCAGCAAATTTGACAACTAACATGATGGTTATGCTTCAGAGGTTTTTTTCCTTCTCTCTTGTTTACCATGTTACCGGTAAGTCAGAATGAAATAACGTTATACTTTGTTGTTGATCGTTTTCGTAAGATATAGTGAACGACTGAATTGTGAAGAATCTATAACTGATCTAATGATCTGCAGCATGTACATATTGACAGAAGTTTAAACATTTATATTTGTGTAGGAGATTGAAATGACTTAAAACTTGCTCAAGCAGGCGACCCGGTGGGTTTTAAGAGGTTTTATACATCGAGATAATTTCTATAAAATCCAGCCCAGGCCTCTATTGGAGACCTGCGTTTATTTGTCAAAACATGTGGCCACACCAGGCTTTTAAATGAGACCTGCATATATTAGGGATTTTTGCTTTTATTGGAAGTTTTACGGTATGTGTGACTATGTTTTGAACAAGGTCCATCAGAAACCTTGGCTTCCCACTGTTGAAAAGAAATGCAGGATCATAAAAGAGAAGTTGTACAGATACAGATATAGAGATATGCAAACAAAAAAAATATTTTGAAGGTCACCTTTTACCAAAAAGTAATAATATTACTTATTACTCCCTGACAGTAATCAGCTGCACTTCTCGTTAATTTACTTTTCTTCTGAACCTGCATCCTATTTCCCCAAATTTCACAGACTTCACATATGTGCCTCTGTGTTAATGTTAGGGTAATTGTCCGGCAAGCTATGGTTTCAAACCAGCTTTTTGCTGCCTATGAATCCATGAAAGTTACAGGCTGGATGAAAAGTACACCAGGCTTACACTGATGATAAGACACAATCTTTTAAACAACTTATTATTATTACTTAAGTTATTTAGAGTAGGGCTCAAAAATCATATTGCAATTATTTTGACAGATATTGCAATAGCGATTTGATTCACAATGAGTGGGAATTATCATTTTTGCATCTCTGTTTTCATTTTCACTGAAAAAGACTATTAAAATCATGATGATGTTTATTTAGATCTGGGGAACAAGATTTGTAGGCCAGGGAATCTCTGCACTACAGTACTTAATTAAATCAATAAAGCTGTTTTGACACATTGTACCTTATCAAAAATTATAGCTTCTTGCAATTTGGATATTGGACTTGACCATATTGCTATTTGGATAACATTTCGATTAATTGTGCAGCCCTAATCTAGAGACATAGTCTATTTTGTCAATTACTTTTGTGTTTACTGTGTGTATTTTGAGATACTATAGACAGTTACTGAAATGGTACCAGTACTGAGTACCGGTACTTCAGATTCTTGTCAAGTAAGTACCTTATTTAGTACTGCCAGTGCCAGTGTCTCTGTTATCTGTTAGCTATCTCAATGCTAAGAAAACAGTATTGAAAATGTCCTCGCTATAAGGCTAATAAGGCATTGACCATAGCAGAGAGTCACACATTTTATCCACCACATATCCAACCACAAGCTGCATTAATACTTTGTCGCTTGCAGCCTGCTGTCCACAATTAAACTCCAGTTTTGTTTGTTAAAATCAAAGTAATGGTAATATTTGCAGCTGCTGAATGTGTTTCCATCTTTCAAGTTAGCGTCCTGTGATTGGATTGTTGGATATCAATCAGTGGGGGGTAACTGTACTGAAATTGTATTAGTAATTAGTTACACTACAAATTAATTAGTTACACTACTAATGGTAAAGTAAAATTGTTACTGTAATATTATCACTGGTAATGCGTTACTGCCCAATACTGCTATCTGGCCATGAACAGAGGTTGGGTTTTATTTGCCGAAGTTTACAAATATCAGCATCCACCCAAATCAATAGAGGTGAACATAATTTAGTTTGTGGTGCAAAATCAACAGCAGCATGTCTCTCCTGTTACTGTCAGTGTTTTTTGATAGTTATGTCAGTAGAAGTTAGTTAATGGGAATACAATTTGATGTTATTTTTAAATATTGTTTGCACCACAACCAAAATTCCATAAAAAAATTTACAAATCTGCATTGTAAGTTACCACTAAGGATACAGGTAAGTAAGAAAATATGCTTTTATGTGGGTAAACATGCCCTTTAGATTAGGAAAACAAAGAACTTTAAATAATAAGTTATCCTTTATTTGTGTTTTGTTGTCCGCAGGTCCAAGAAACAGCCAAACCCTTGGACTTTCAGAGCCAACAATGGAGAGAGGAGGAAGGAGGAAGAGGAGACAGTGTAGGAGCTGCTTTGAAGGTTAAACATATCTCCAAAGATTTACAGATCATCTCTACCAAGCACAAAACACCAGCTTACGGCTCCCTCGGCCCGTATGGATGGCCTCAGAACTTCTCACAAGCCCTGGACCAGTACCTGTACCGCCCTCCTCCCAAATCCAAACCTCCCGCAAAAACATCCCCAAAGGCCAAGAAGATTCTGGGCTGGGGCGATTTTTACTTCAATGTGAAAACAGTGAAGTTCAGCCTCCTGGTGACGGGGAAAATCGTGGACCACATCAACGGCACATTCAGCGTCTACTTCCGCCACAATTCATCCCGTCTGGGGAACATATCCGTCAGCATCGTTCCACCCTCCAAAGCTGTAGGATGGGAGGTTTTGGATCCGTCGGCTCAACAAGTTCACACCAAAAACTCAGTCTTGGTTCCAGATCTGACATCCCAGTTCCAGAGTCCACCTCAGTCCACCAGCTCCACCCCTCTGGACCAGCAGAAGCAGCAGCAGCAGGACGTGATGATGGTGACCGAACTCAACTGCCGGATTGAATACCAGAGAACCAACCGGTCCAAGAAGACCAAGCCCTGCCTGTACGACCCGGGACAGACCTGCTACTCAGAAAACACCCAGTCCCAGGCAGCCTGGATCTGCGCCAAACCCTTTAAGGTTATATGCATCTTCATCGCCTTCACCGGCACCGATTACAGGCTGGTGCAGAAAGTCTGTCCAGACCACAACTTTCAGACTGAGCAGAACCAGCAGCACTTCGGATGACAGATTCTGAGACGCTGAAACTGAGATAGCAAACACTGACTTTTCGTACATCCCTTAAAACCATGTGTTCAATTTAGGTTCAACATGTTTTTATACACCATTAAAAAAACATTTTCAACATGTCAGTGAGCACAGTTTGAGCCACAACTTGTGTTAATGTGTTAATAGCAGCGCTTGTCTATGATGAGATTTATAATGTGAGCTTTGTGTTTGTCTGAAACTATTCTCATCTGCTGAAAACTCTACATTGTCTTTAAAAAAACAGTGATTCTGGATATCATTTTGTGTGTAGTGTTTTAAGAATTTTGTTTTCTCAATATGCATTGATATAAGTGAGGACTTTAAATCCAACATTTGATATTCTCCACTTGAAAAATGTGATTTCATAGCTCATTAATAATATAAAATAGATAGATCTTTAGCGACAGAATCATCTGTAGTTTTTGAAACATGGACTGACTTCAAGTGCTTTTTTTTACTATAAAATTAACCTGTTCATTGTACAGTGACTATGACTGATTAGATGTTTTTTTTTTTTTTCAAAGAACTCATACCGCGTGAGATGACACAGATGATTTACTGTTGTAGTCACTTTTATCAGGGACACAAAGTTCACATGTCCTTGGCTCCCTTCCAGTATGGATTTTACTTTTACCCTTTGCACCTTGACTAGTTTTCTGTTTCCGAGCCCCCAGCTGTCACAGACATGCTTTTTCTGTCCTTACGGCACACACTACGGGTGAGTACATTTGTTTTATAATGTATTCATTTTAGAGCTATTTTAAATGTATGTACAGAACCACATGTATCTGCATTTAGTAGCTCTTTCCCCCAGCTCCTGAGAGCAGTTATAACTAAATCACTTTTTTTACTGCAAACTAGGTCAGCTTGTCACCGCAGGTCACTTCAACCCAGATAGAAATGTCTGGTTTGAAGATTGACATTGTGTTGTATTTTCAATTTGTCAGTCCAGTTGCATAAGTGTCTCTGTGTTTGTCTGATAACTGTGATTATCGCAGGTTGTCAAAAGAGAAAACAGTGCTACTGTTTGTCCCAGAATATTTTTTGTTGTTGAAGGAAAGTTGACTGTACACTGCTCTTTAATATACTCAAGGCTTAGAAAACATAATGAACACAAAAGATGAAAGGAGACTTGCTTCGTCACATATTTATGCTTGAACAGTAATCTCTCTATTAGGCCAAAGTAACACATAGTTACGCAACTATCATGCAGCTACAAGCTGCCTTCAACAAACAAGACCCTGATAAATAAGTGTGTGGCTAGCCCTCATTACACTTTTCATGTCCAAGGTTTTCCATAACCGCTCCACTGAATAACACGTTTGCTTTTTCACTGCCTTTCATTTAATGGATTGTTTAGAACATCAAAAGACACATTATTCTAACTCCCTTGTTTCCAAACCCCCGGTGCAAAGTATTATAATTTTGGGTGATGAAAGTGTTTTTGCACAGGCTCACTCTTACTGGGGTTTTCAAAAGACACTAAAGGCGCAATCTTGGAACACAACAACAAAAGAACCCCCCAGAAACTTTTTTTACTCTGAACAGTAAAGCACAATGGAGAGTTGCATCAACTCTTGTTACTATTTGTCTCCAAATTAAGGTTTTATTAACTACACTGAGTTGTTGAGTACAGCACCATCTCTCCATAGTCTTCTCAAACAGGGTTTACATATTTTCTTCATTTTCTTTATTATGTTTAAGAAGTGAACATTTAGTTGTTGACTGAAATGTGCTCACCCACCACCCCAAGCCCCTCTTCCTCAGGGCTTCAGGATGTTTGGGCAGAGAGGGGCACGTCACATTGGGGTTGGGCAAGCGAGGCCTCAGCAGCAACAGTGGATGGGTGGGACAGGAGAGCCTGGCCCAGGATGACCCAGAGATGTGGAGCCTCCTGCAGCAGGAGAAGGACAGGCAGTGTCGGGGACTGGAGCTCATTGCATCAGAGGTGAGGCCCGCTCATAAAGAGTAGAGACAGAGGCAGTGGTTTTCATCAGGAGATCACACAAAGAAAAACACAGTTTAAAATGTTACACTAGATTCTTTACAACCTCTGTCATCTATACTCAGCATTGTCAAAACACCATTCAGATGCAGGTTGTAAGTGAACGGTAGTGACCATATGAGCACCAGTCTGTTGTGTGACTGTTTTGTTTGTTCATCTCTTGCGTCACACATGGAGTGTGTGTGTGAGAGAAGTGCTGGAAAAACAGGTGTGTTTTGACACATAAACTCTTGAAAGGATTGCTGTAGTCACTGTGCAGCACCAACTGCCTGATGGCCTTAGGAACCAGTGCAGTTTTTAAATCCACACTAAAAACCTTGTTATTATCAAGCCCATTTACCTAAATGTTTCTGAACCCTGGTTCTTATTATTATTATTGTGCTATTGTTATTTGTTTTCATTTATTTCTTTATTTTTATTTTCTATCCATCTTATTTTTAATAAAACTTTTACTTTTAGGTTTATCTTTAATTCTGCTGTTTTTATTTTTGAACTGTCTTGCTTTTAACTGCACTGTACAGCACCTTGAATCTACCTTTGTGTATAAAATGTGCTTTATAGATAAAACAGCCTTGTCTTGCCCCGCTGCACAGCCTTTGGAAAATGAAGGTGAAATCGGTAGATGAGGTTGTGCCAGAATATAATTTCAGCCAAAAACCAAACAGCTGTATCATAGCCCCACACTCAAGATAATTCACAGTCAATGATTATATTTAAATGTGAAAATCATCTGTGCGCTGTTTGCAACAATCACACCATTTGAAAAATGAATTTCTGAATAGTAGACCTGTAAGGTGCAGTTGTATCTTCTGCAATAGAGATATTGCTAATTATCCTTTGTGCTTTCCTGTTGACAGAAGTGTTAAAGATTGCAGTATGTGAGACAGGAAGCAAGTAAAAAAAACCTGAACTGCAGAGGAGCTTCTTTCAGCAGTGTAACCACAAGTCACCAGAGTTGTAGTTTCTAGAATTTAACTGTTTTCTTCAGAGTTCACCGAGATTTCCTTTTGCATTTTCCTCCTCGCAAGTCACTGATTACATCTAAGTGGAAGCTGTGGGAAAAGAAGGGGGCTTTCATTCTTTTATTCTCCAGCAATTATGTATCCACAGCACTATCACTCTCAATGACATCTGAAAGATTTTCATCTTCTTCTGCATGTGCTGTCAGTCGCTGCTGCAGGCTGACTCCCACTGGAGAGCCCGCGTTTTTTTTTTCTCCAGGAACAGTCAAATGATCCCATTAGGTTCCCTCACTGATTTCTGCCATTGATCTCTACATTTCAAGTTGAGACAGAGGAGGAGGGGCGATCGCTTATGTGCATGTGTTTATGTGTGAGTGTCGAGATAGTGCTTTTGAAATGTCATCGAGAGAGATTTGTGTCACATGGGGGACTGGTTTTAAATCCCACTGGGATGATTGAGGGATCCCTGAACAGTGACAGGTTTAGTATAATAACAAGGCAGAGGGGGCGGCTGAGGAGGACAGAGAGAGACAGAGAGAGAGAGAGAGAAGAGGGAAGAAGAGCAGAAGTGAGAGTGGGAGAAAAAGAGACTGAGACAGGCAGAAAAATTAATTCACATTCATTTCCTTTTCTGCAGCTCCATCTCTCCTCTGACTCTCAAGTGTCTTTGAGATATTTGACACTGTACTGAACCCCACAGAGAGTCAGTATTAGTTAGATTCCTCTATGTTCATCCCTTAATTTAACTATAGCACCTCTAATTCTTAAATAATCTTTAGATAAGGTAATTTAATTCATTTTTGCAGCTTCCAAAAAAAGGCTGTGATGAACCTTTTGTAAGATTTATGCAACACATTTAACATTTAAATAACTGTGATTTTCCCACCCTGACTCTGGAACTTGTCTTATTGTTTTCATAATTGGTATTTGCAAGAGAAATGCTTATATTTGAACCTAATTTCATACTGGATAACTCAGACTGTGGTACTGTGTGACTTGGTCTTGCTGAAAGAGAGCAGGGGTGTTCAGTCACCCTTCTCTGTGTAAATAAAGGTTATATTTGGAGGGTGACAGTGTTCTGAATATATAAGCATGATAAAAAAAAATGTACTGTGTGTGTCTCTGGATCTTGACACTGTGCTTGTTTGTCCTGTCAGAACTTCTGCAGCCGGGCAGCACTTGAAGCCCAGGGCTCCTGTCTGAACAACAAATACTCTGAGGGATACCCAGGACAAAGGTAAATGTCCTAATAATACACATATAAAATATATTATAACAATCATTACAAAACATTGAAAGATTTTCAGAAGCCAGATTGAAGTGCGCAATTTTGTGAAATTTAATTTTAAAACTGTGAGTGAAGTAGGCTTGAGACCAGAGGGTTGGCACATTTACTCCCAGACTAGATACAATGCAATTCAACATATTATGATACAGTACTGTAAAACAAAATTCTCAATTATAACATGATTAATTAATATAGTACAACCTGATACAATACAATATGAAAATATGTGACATAAAATGATACACTACGATACAAATACAAATATGATACAATACTATATAATATGAAAGCAAACCACACCATACAATATGATGCTTTCTCAGGTACTATGGAGGTGCAGAGATCGTCGACAAGATTGAGCTGCTGTGTCAGAAGCGAGCGCTGACCGCCTTTGGCCTCGACTCAAATATGTGGGGTGTCAACGTCCAGCCATACTCCGGATCCCCAGCTAACTTTGCAGCCTACACATCTGTACTGCAGCCTCATGATCGCATCATGGGCCTGGATCTGCCTGACGGAGGACAGTGAGTGAAAATGCTGAAGCCAGAGATACTCAAATATAGAGCTTCTGGGTTCTTTATTTTATTTATCTGTATAGCAAGTAACAACTGCTTGTCAAAATTAGATAGAAACACAAGACACAAGCAGTCTAATTTAAATAAATATAAACAAAATATTTAGTCATAAGTTGGTACATGACATAGAATCATAACATCATATCATATATCAATTATTAGATATGCATTGCGTCCTGACAGACATGTTATTACATTATCTGACAGTTATTACGTTCGTACTTGCTACAGTTTTGTTAAATGTTTTGAGATTTGGCTTATGTGGTTTTGACATTTCTCTACATGAAACTTGATGTTGTTATTGGGACTTGACGTCAAGAAGAATTAATGACAAAATGTTAGTCACAGAGCCGGGAGTTGTCACATTATACCACCTTCTTTAAAATTAATGTATTTTTTCACTTCAACCACAGAACTGTGGGAAATGTAAACAATATTTTTTCCAAACTGATACCCCGATTACAAACCTCATCGTCGTATTACTGCTCCAGGTGATATTTAGATTTGTGATGAAAGGCAGACCTGCATCTTTTATGTGCCAGACACTAAATAAAACGTATATGATGGCTGGCTAGGGGTACAGAAAGAGCCCCTCTCTCTGATATAAATCTATACAAATATTTAATATATTTAGTTGATAACAATAGATAGCAGAACAATCTAC